TCAGCTTCAGTGTAACTAGATTTATGTTGAGGTCTTGGATCCACTTGGACTTGAGTTTTATACAGGGCAATAGATATGGATCTACTTGCATTTTTCTAATGCCAAGTTTCAGTTCATAGGGCTTGGCAAGGATGCTGTTCACCAAGTGCTGTCTAGGAAGCAATGAGGAAAAGAGTGTCGTCATCTCCAAAGAGTTCCATGGGATGGGGAAAAATATGTGTATGGAAGACATTTAATGTTTCAACTAAAATATATAATATGTCATCAGATAATTGCACTTAAATAAAGTCTGCTATTCTTATCACATTGTGTGGAGGCAAGCACCATTTTGCACAAATTCTTTCTCTTTTGATGTCTTGGATTTGAGCATGATGATAAATGTTGAGAAAAGGTATGATTTGGAGGATTTGCTGACTTTAAGCCAGAGGATGGTGTTAGAGGCTCAGACATACATTGCCAATGGTGATAGAACATTATGATACATAAAATTTAGATTATTTGTAAGAGTTCAGTTGGATGAAGAAAAACCATGAGAAGTCTTTTATATTTGTTTGTTTTGTTTTGTTTTGTTTTGTTTTTGTAAAACGAGGTTTCTCTGTATAGCCTTGGCTGTCCTAGAATTCACTCTGTAGACCACACTCAGAGATCTGTCTGCCTCGTCATCCATCACAAGTTCTAGGATTAAAGGTGTTTGCCACCATGCCAGACCAATGGGAAGTCTTAAAAACTGGGTGAGTAGAAGATTTTCTGTATTTTTTTTATTTTTGTTTCATGAGAATAAGAGCCTATGTAGGGCTCAGCCATAAATGGGACAAGTATGCCACTTCCTCCCTCCACCTCAAGGCTCCTGGACGATCCTGTAACAGGGACTCCAAAAGACGGTGAAAGCAGCAGTCAGGGAAGACTACAGCAAAACTGTGTCTTCTGGACATGGCAGGATCACTGCACTAAAGAACTGGTGGCAACTCTGGTTGACTCCATAAGAGCTACATAACCCATCCAGTCAGCGTTTTAGCATAGAGGTGGGAGGGGCTCACAAGCCTGAAATCCTACCTGAGGAGTTACTGAGGGTTGATGGCTGCCTGAGGAGGGAGTCAGTTTTCTCTCAGCATCTGGCTCCTAGCAGGTCCGCTATACTTCAGGGTATGGTCTCATACCCATGAATATGTGGGCAGCCATAAATTATGCTTGGTGGGTTACAAAACAATACAGATGTCATGAAGCTGAGAGGAGGAAGGTGAGGGGAGTTGGGAAAGAGTGGGAGTTAATATAATAAAAATACATTATATATCTATACATATATATATGAAATTCTCCATGAGTTCATTAAGACCAAAAACTGTGCCTGGGTGTGAAGTTCAAGCTTGATCTGGTTTTTGTCTAAGGTGCCCTACCTCATGCATGTGAAGACCAATCTTACACAGAGTCAAAGCACCTAGGGCTTTATCACTCTCCAATACGTATATGGTAATGATGAAGAAGAATGGATACTAGTAGATTGTATGGAGAACGAGGTAATGGATTTCCTTGTGTAACTGGTATGCCTCGGCTTACACCAATGACCATGAAAGTCTGGAGTCTCAGTACTTGGGACACAATGAAAAAAATTCTCAGTCTTCTCAGGGACTTCTCATGGTCTGCAAGAATAAAAAAAGCTCAACTCTGTGGCCTTTCTCACCTATGATGCCTTAACCATAATCACACATTTAAACCCAAGTGCCTGGATGAGTTTCCAAACTTGAAGGCTTTGGTGTGGCACTGCGAGGCTTTGGGGAAGACAGTTGTGAACCTGCTGACCATTTCCTCAAGATACCCATCAGGAACACCAAGGCTAAGAGGGGCAACAAATGCATATGCTGAGTCAGAGACACTTGGACTGATTGGTTTGTACCATTTTATCCCTAGGGGCTTGCATTCTTCCTTTTCATATTAATGAATATCATTTGTGTTAAAATATATATTTGATGAAAATGCATCTCAAGGCACAGAGCAAGTAGTTTGCTGCTATAACTTTTCAACCATTTGAATATCTTTTTTTCTTGAAAGTAAAGGAAGCACTGTTTCTTATGCATTGAAAAGTGTACTAAATTTCACCTACATGTGGTATTCTGCTGTTTCTGAGGCCTAGACTGGGTACTTTGATTAATGTTGAGAGGCTGTGGAAATGACTTCTCAGGAAATCTTGACTGGGTAGAAACCCATCTGTCTTACATGGCTTAGTGCTAGTCCTGGCTCGAGGCTAAGGATAGATAACCTGAAATAGAATAAGAGACCCAAAGGGGAGGATTAAGTCACCAGATTAGTGGGGACCATATGCTCTTTAGAAGGTTCACGAAATTGCTCATTTCCATGGGAAAACTGTTTTTCTCCATCACTTTGAATTTTAGTGGGAGAATAATGCCACCTTGACTTCCTCTAAAATACTTATTAAAACCAGTGGAGCAAGTAATCTCTCAAGGATAATACTTTTGTTGTAGATGTAAAAATGCTGAATTATGATTATGGAAGTAGCTCCCTTCTCTCTTCACCTCCAGTTTCCCTTGCAGCCCAACTCCTTTTCTCTGTATTCTTCTCTTCTTCTTCTGTGCCATCTCCTCTCAGTCCTGCTTTCTTTGATTTCTTTTCTTCTCAGATATTTTAAATTGTGTCAATAATACTGATTTCCAGATACTGTGTCTTTTTTTTTTGTTCCCAAGCACTAAGAAGGTTTCTTCTCTAAGGTCTCACAATTTATAATATATAAAAGCCGATAAGGTGTTTTTTGAGATAGTTTTATTCATGATTTTCTTTCCTTACTCTCTTAAACATGTGAGACTATAGGTAGGTGCCTCCCTAACTAGCAAAGTGGGATTTGAAACTAGTTAACCTCATGCAAAATCTATATTCTTAACTAACTCGACATGCTCTTTCTTTTTTTCTTAATGCTTAAAAAAATGTGTATTTAGAATTAGCCAGCTGGAATCAGTTTAGATGATTTCAATTTTGTTGGCAACATCCAAAGCAACATAATCAGACGCTAGCTGAACATATGCCTTCCTGCCTCCCTCAGGTGTGATTAAGGTATTGACTTTGACCACATCAATGTCACAGAATCTCTTCACAGTCTGTCTGTTCTGCTTGTTGTTGGCCTTGAAGTCCACCATGAACACAAGCGTGTTTTTCCTCATTTATTTCAGGGCTGACTCAGTGACCAAAGGGAAACTTGAGTATGCACAGCTGTCACCTCATGTGTACAGGGGCAGTGAAGACTTGATTTCTTGGGGGTGTTCTTAACAGGTATTTGGGCTACCTCCAGAGGCTCAGGGGCTTGGGCCATCTAAAGGCTGATGCCTTGTGGACCTTCTCTCTGTGGCTGTAGGTACTTTTTGGCACTGCCTTCTTGGTTTTCAGTGCCTATCCTTTGGCTTCTGCTTGGGAGAGGCAGGAACTCCCTTCATTCCTGTCAGCATCATTTTCGTGAGCAGCAGCATGCCCTTTGTTCCTTTTCTTGTTTTCCTCAACATACTGTTTCTTGATGGATGACAGAGTTACACGATGAAATGTTCACAGAATGTGCATCACTCATTCAAAAAGAAATTCCTGCATCTCTTTTGATCAGCAGCATCTTTTACATGCAATATAAAAATGTTTAAAAAATTACATTATCCGTTCAAGTATCCATTATTGAAAAATACAAACTTGCTTTTATTAAAACATAGCAGAAAGTGACTTAGAAATCCTCCCTGAGGACCAGCTCTCATGGTATCTGATTGTGCTGTGCAAGCTGCCTAGGGAGAAAAGCAATCAACAGTCTTAGCCAACTGTAAAGCTTATAAATCACAATGACTAGAATGGCAAGATATACCCAAGTCTTGGGGGCAACCAATACCCACTCAATAGAAGGGAATTCATACCTGGTATTGTAAACCTAACCAACAATTCATAGCTGATAAGGCCAATGACCTTATAGAGGAACCTAACACTGCCACATTCCCAAACCAATGTAAGTTCCAACTACATTCTAAATATTTGTCCATGTAGTCATAAATAAGTGGAGCTCTCATCTCTCATCAAAGAAGCTTCCCTTTGCAGAAGACAGAGACCATTAAAGAAATGCACAATACAGAAGAGATGGAGGAGGAAAAAAATGGGGTGGAAATTATAATAAATGCATACCTGGATGAAATTCTCAAAAAGTTATGCAAAAAATAATGGTTAAAAACATGTAGAGATTGGGGTAAGAATACCTAAAAATGGGCTGGGGAAGGGCACAGTGGCTAAAGAGCATGCTGTATGAATGAGAATGGGAGGGTCTGAGTCTGCATGGTAGAATCCATGCCAAGCAAGGCAAGGTAGTATATCTCTGTGAACTCACTATTCTTCCAGCAAGATGGGACATAAAAACAGGACTCTAGAAGCTTGAGTGACAGGCAGTCTGGCATACACATCTGGTGAACAGCAAGACAGCCTGTCTCAAGGAAAGTGAAAAGTGAAGACTGATGTGACAATCAAAATTGTCCTGTGATGTCCACATGCATGTCTTGGTGTGTGTGTTCGCATGCACACATCTATACAGATATCATACATACACAAACCCACAGAGATTTGTTAAGAGACATATAAACATATATGGTCAAGGTTTACTAGCATCTTCAATTTGTTGGATGCTGTGTCTTATTCTTTTTCATACTTTTTATATGATGAATGAATTTGTAATAAAAATCCAAAAAATAGTAATTATCCATGAGATGTTTATTAATTATTGGGTAGGGAGGCACATGTCTTTTTTAAAATATGAAGCATATATTAAATTTAATAAATATAGTATATATAAATATAGTATCAGCTGGGCATGGTGGTGCATGCCTTTAATCCCAGCACTCAAGAGGCAGAAGCAGGGTTGGTCTACAAAGCAAGTTCCAGGACAGCTAGGGCTGTTACACAGAGAAACCCTGCCTTTAAAAAACAAAGAAAAGAATTTAATATCATTTGATGAGTTTTCCACATAAAATTATTACAACTTTTCCAACCCCAAACACATAAACTTTAATAACATCAAAGTCACTGATGTTTGCCAGTCTTACTCGTTAATTTTAAAGACAAGTGGAATGCAGTTCTAAGAAGCTAACAACCTGTCTGCAGTCAAGCAGTTGGTGAACCGATGAATAAGTGCATCCGTCTGGGCAGAGTCTCCTCCAAGTGTCTTCCACCTTCAGTAGTTTATCAAGCTTCTTTAATTTACATGTTAAATAATTACTTTGCTTCATTTGCTACAGGAATACAAACACATCATTCTCACTTGTTGTGAAAATTATCATAAAACCTCTGCCGTTCTCCTTCTAGATTTATTATTGTCTCGAGTTTCATTTGTCTTTTAATCTTATGGTACAGTGAATGCATCAATATATGTTGCTAATGTGAGATGAAGGGAGTAGAAGAAATGTACAACAATATTAGGAGTTTCAGAACATGTTACCCCCAAAGAAAACACATTGACATGTGAGACAGCCACAGAAGGCAATCTCTAGACCTCACCTTGCCATTCTCCCCTGAAGTAGGTCATATGAGAATACTGTGCCCCTCCTCTAACTTAGGTCATACTCATGCTACAGTGTTCTTTTGCACACCCAGAACAGAGCAAGGAAGAGACAGAGTTCCCGAGAAGAATTTGTGAGAACAGGTTTTTACCAGGTACCTCTCCAGTCAATAATAAAGCACATACTTTCTCCCTATCAAGCTCAGTTCTGAAAAACTGTTAACACAAATATACATTAACACCTTCCTTTGATTCTTTGTATTTGAAGGTTTCCATGCCCTAAAACCTATGTTGAATAAAAATAACATTCTTTTCTCTTGTTGATCTGTTTTGTTTTAGGGTCTCAGCCATGAGCCTAATACTGGATAAAGGAGGAAAAACATATATACTGAAATTCTAAAAAAATTAAACCAAATACAGCAGGAGCTACAAAGATTGGTAAGATTTTCATATAATAGTATAAATTAAATAAGTCTTATATTCCATACATTCAAAATGAAACTAGAAAAGTATACTGAGACAACAAAAATCTATATTGCTATCTGCTCATCCATTTGTCACCCCTGGGCCCTGTATAAAATGGCCAATTAGAGAAGGATTCCAAAGTCTCCTTAGGCTGTAAAAACTTTGATGTCTTTCCTTCTTGTTTTTGTGGTGAAAAAAAAAAAGCAAGAACGGCTTCCAGAATGAATATCATCTTAGTATAGATTTTTAAGAGTGTGTTAAACTAAAGCAGTACAAATCCTATGGTGAGGATGAAAAGTAATGCAAAGTGATCTATAACCGGGGATAAACTATGGAGAAAAGAGACTGATTATCAAAACATGATTTCTCTCACCAAAATTATGGACTTATGCTATTTGGAAAAGGAGTTTTATACATATCATTAAAAATATAACTAAAACAAAGCCTTCTAGAATCTCTACTTTTTACCTTAAATTTAGAAAAGCTCCCTAATTACAGATAAAGAATGACTGGTAATGGATAATTTTGTACTAGAAGCAAGTTCTATTTTCAGGCAGTAGGGAATAGACTGACTTACAGTAAGAGCCCTTTCTTCGCTCTACTCTATCCACCAATAATGCTTCTTCCCTCTCCCTCCCCCATAGTTTCTTCCTTCCCTTCTTCCTTTTTTCTCATCCCCTTCATGTACAGATATTAAAATACATCTTCTACATACTTACTTCTTCTGGAATACTGCCTTTCATCATTTAATCTTGATATTAACAGTGCCTTGCTTTCCTTGTGAACACAGCTCTGTTGTTTTGCTTCTTGCTTGGGTGATCATAGTATTCACATGCCTGTGGTATCTGACAAATTATTGCTATTGAGATGCTCCAATACTGGAGATTGCATTTGTTCAAGCACCCATGCAAATCTCCTAACACAAGCAAATATGTGCATAATTCACATCATGAGACTAGAATGCAATTTTCCCACAAAGATCTCCAGATTTTGAAGTGGTTATATATTTTGTTGTTGTTATTGTATGCATGGCCAAATATAAGTTCAAGTTATTTAAAACTCCACGATTATTTCTATCACATTTGATTTTAGATGAGTGAGTTAGGGTTGGTTCTCACATTATTATCACGTGGTTGGTAAGGATATGAGATTCTCTCAGCAAGATTACAAGTACAGAGGCAGTATCAAGCATAAAAGGGCACTCCTCATAAACTAAATATGAGCATTCGTGATTACAATACCATATTGTTTTGTTAAGAAACCATTTTCTAACACATATCCTTTATTGACAGTACAACTCGGTTCTTTTCTTCTGCTACAAATGAAGTTACAAAAACCAAGGTTATCATTACAAATAGCACCAATGATGTAAATATAATTGCATTTTATGCTGGTTGAAAGGTTCATTCTTACCATTAACAGATTTATAATCTATAAGATGTAGCTCAGTGGTGTGGTACTTGCCAAACATGTGCGAGTTCCTGGTTTCAATAACTGAGGCAGGCTGGAGGGTAAGGAGAAAGTAGGAGTGAGAGTATAAAGAGAGAAGCATTTCTATTAAGGGTAGATTCCAAAAGCTCATTCCAAGCAAAGAAAAATAATTAATGAACTTGTTATAAGAAGTAGCCTCTCCAGTTCTAATGCTATCCTCTTTACTTTTCCCCTGACCATTTTTGCTCTCGGAATGAAATCATCCTGGCCTTTGCAGCCAGTTCCCCCAGTGGCGCACATGGTGGAGAATGCCCTCCTCTCCGGTCACCCCCTTTTCACTGTTCTTGCCTCTTCTCATACTTGCCACTTTCCTTGTGTCTCTCTACTACTATGTAGCTGTCATGATAAATCCATACCAAACACTTCATTTCTTGGTTTCTTTGCCAGTTATCTACTTCTTAAACTCAGGGCTACCATACATCTACCCATCCTTCCCACCTCCTTTCTCTTTGCTTCCTCCCTGTCTTCTTATAGCTTGATGCTTGCTTCAGACATCTAATTTTTCCATGCTAAAATGCCCTGTGTTGAACAGTCCTTCCCATGTCTGAACATCTTATAGTTGCTGGATGGCTACAGTTTTCAGAGTGTAAGTATTAGAATAAAATATGTGAAAAAATTGTGCACGATAAATGTTAATTCCAGTAGGAACTAATCAAATTAAGGTTAATGCCTCCATAAGCTACACTATCCGTTGTAGTTTCCTGACATGGAGAGGAGTAAACAAGATCAGTAGTTGCAAGACCATATGTTGAATTCAGAATGAAAAAGGAATGTCCATGTTTGGATTTAGTAGTAAAGCAGCAGAACATTAATTTTCCACTAAAACAGTAGCCAACTATATTTTGCGTATTAACTTTCTGTTTCTCCTCATTTGGTTTCTTTTTTATTTATGCATATATTTTCAACTCCCTCAAAGTACTACTATGCTTTTTATCTTTTCTGATCATTACATCAAGTAATTTGTTATCGATAAGTAAAATACATCTATATACCTCTCTCATTATACATGTCAAGATATTGATATGTAACTTAAACAAAAAGTCAAGATATTTATTCTTTGATTATTAAATACTTAAATCTGTACAATCTGTGACTTTAACATCCCCCTCCAAAGTCCTAATATTGTAATTGTGTTGTGTCTTTCAAGTGTTGTGATGTGGGGGCTAATGAACAGAGCCTCTACCCTCAAAAATACAGTTATATCATTGCTGTGGTTGCAAATTGGTATCATGAGTGAATTTTTCTTAAGTGATAGCTCAACCCCTTCTTGTTAACTCATATTCACTTGTCTTTGCCCCTTTGCCTTCCACCCTAGGATAAGACAGTAGGAAGTGTTTCACCAAAACTCCATATCCTGTTCTTGGATTTCTGTCTATAAATAACCAGTTTCAGGCATTTCACTTTAGCAGAAAAAAAAGGCTATAATTAGCTCATATTTGAAAGTAGAATGAGAAAGATAGACTGAACTGGAAAAATGAAAAAGGATTTTCAAATTGTGTTAATTTCAAATTACCTGAGGGCATCTTTACTTTTCTTTCTGGAGTATTGATGCTGACAACAATTGGGAATAGGGGTATCATTCACTAGAAAAGAATACAGAATATGTAGATAAGTAAATATATAAAATCCTCCTTAAGTGAAAGGAAAGTAGAACAATTTTCACACTGCAATGGCTACTGTTTAACAAAAGGTACTATCTGTTACTTTATTTCAAGTTAGTTCACTTTTTCCATGAACTATGACAGGCAGGAAGGTAGAAGGTCCCATATTTGGGATCTAGACTCTTCCATGGTATTCATGGAACATTCTTTTGTGATACAATTCTTTGACTTCTAGAAAAATCCATACTTAGATATTAGAATTATTTGAAGATGTCTGAGTGAGTGAGACTCATGCACATTTTAAATAAATCAACACATTGTGTTAAATCATTTTATTTAGATTACCAGGATCATTGCTAAGATTGACTGCATTTTCATAACAAAATAAGGTTTGGCTAAAGATGGTTATTTTATCTAGGAGCTGTGACACTTATACATGGAGAGTGTAATTACTTTCAACCAGCCTACCAAACAGTGAATTTGAAAAATGAATATTACCAAAACATAACAAAATAATCTTCTAGGGCTAACTAGAAAACAGTTCAGAACACAAATACATTAGACAATAATATTCTGAATTACTGTGGCATAAATCAATAATAGAATTTATCCCTTATCTTGATGTTTACCATCTGATGAGAAGACCTAGTACATCCATAAGCATGTCTATATGTGGACTTATGTATCAACATCATGCATATATCAATATTATATGCACAAACATCCATAATAATAATTTTAATATAAGAACTATAGTAATCAATTTTATGGCTTACAAATGTTAAATATAAGATAGATTGAATTTCCAGAGCTTCCATGTTGTTATACTGAAAGTAAATTACGAATTTTGAGTTTATTTTCTCAACTTCGTTGATTAAATTTGTGTCGCTGGTAATCATTTTTTAATCAATTAACAATTCTACTCTTTGACATAGATAATAGACAAGCATTGTGAAATCAACCAAATACATACACACACATTCTTAAATATATAAATACAACCTGCTCAGTTCATATAATGTGACCTGTATGTACATAACCTCAGGGAAGACTGCTTAATATTAGATAACCATTTAGGGGCTTTTCCCTGGGGCAGACAATTTCTCCCACTCAGAGTTCCCTGGTTAGCAATTGGCCACAGCTCTTTGTCTAGTGTTAAGACCCTATGAGCTTTCCCCTCTTCAATGTTCTATTGCCATTGTTTAGATCATGTTTAGGCACCCGTGTTGATGAGATTTCATGGGTGTAACCTCTTTTGACATTTCCAGGGGACACAATCTCACATTTTTAGGAATATACTTTTACAGCTAACTTTTTGCTCATCTGGCTCTTATAATCTTTCTGCCTATACTTCCACAATAATCACCAAGTCTTAGGTGCAAGAGTTGGTTTGTAGATGTATCAGTTGGGAACCTTGTGATCTTTTGTTCTCTTCATTTAGATATGTTGTAGTTTCATGTAATGGTCTCTGTTTCTTGGACTTTTCTGTGGATATAAATTATAGGTATTAAGAAGCGGGTTAGGAAATAAAAAACAGAAGGAAAATGTTAAAATAAAGGCAAGGATGTCTAAAAAAGTCATAAAGCAAATTACATTATTATCTATCTACAAAAAAGTACATGTAAAATGCAACATATTTCTACGCATTCATATGTATGCTTTAAATGTAATCTCCAATCTGGTCTGATAATATTCCTCTCAAGAGCTATAGATTATCTAACACAATCCCCAACACCAGGTACGATAATATCCCTTTTGAGTTGTTGGTCAGAGTTGTCCAAGAGACTCTAGAAATATTATAAGCTGTTGCTGTTGTAGATAAGTGCCTATTAAGGAAGACACCATGCAGTTTGGACATAGAACACAGGACTCAGAAGATCTAAGTTCTATCAATCATATATATTTTTAATTTGATTGAATTGAAATTACGTGAAACAATTTTACCCTTAGTAAGCATGATAAACTTACAATTAACGTGTGGTATTGAAAATAACTATGCTTTTAAAAAATATAGATAGTTGTTTAAACAAAGATGAAAACAATTTCATGCTCTTCAAAAGGTGCATATTTGTTTTACAGTTTGAATTTTAGGTGAGCTCTTTTTCAGCTTAACTGTGGTATGGAATAATTTGTTTATCGTCCAAATGAAAAATGGTCTCTGGTAATTCACATTTTATTAATGTTTGATTTAATGTCTTACTTATCTAAGTAGTCTTGGTCACCATGGAGGACTGCATTGTACTGTGGTCTTCCTTCTTCATTAAATGTACTTTGTACCTTATGGGATGTATGTGCTGCATTAAGATTGCACTCTATTTAATTAGAGCAGGATATGTTTCTTTAATTTAGCAGGTTCCATAGAGGAATGAGACATAAGTAATTTACAGGCTATCATTGCACTCAATATTTGCAGTTATGACAACTTTAGATTTTCTCATTTCCAAAGAAAACAAAAAGACTGCTAAGAAAAGACTCGGTAAAACCACTAATATGACAGTGTGATCTTTCATATATGAGAAAAATACTTACTCTGTTTCAAACAAAGCATTACCAGCCACAAAGCTGTTCCAAACCACAATTGGAAGCATGAGTAGTTCACCTCTTGTGATTGCAATTCTGTATCAGTTGCTCTGGCATTGTTAAGGCAGAAATGTATGTTGGAATAAAACACTTGAGTTGAAGTTCAGGAGACTTATGAGATTGCAAAGAGGTTGTTTTTTTTTTTTTAATCTTTTCTTAAGTATTTAATTTAGATAAGAATTTGCAAAGTGGTGAATATATTTTATGCTCCAAATACATTATTCTTGGGTATAATTAGGAAACAGAGATAAATGTTAGAAATGCAATCTAGGTGAATGTCTCTCTTAATAGTTCTCTGTGAGCAACTTCCTTCTATTTGATGACACAGAACTGTCTCTGTGTTTTGTGGTTTCTCTGCTACCCACCTTGAGCCACATTTCCAGGGATTGAGCTACATTTTCAGGGGGTGGGGGCGGAAACAGGGAGAAATTTACTTACTGTGAGGCAATGGGTTACTGTAAAGGCTTTGTGTTTTCCTAAAACAAACAAACAAACAACACAAACAAACAAACAAAAATCCCACAAAGAATGCCAGAGTCTTGGCACCTCAGAGAAAGCAAGTATGTGTCTTGACATCAATGAAATCATGTTAATGATCTGTTCACAACTCTCCAAAATCTCCTCTTTCATACACAGTAAAAGCAGAAAACCACACACAGGTTTTCAAAGGTCCCTATACTTGAACTCTCATCCATTCCTACAAAGGCACAAAGGTATTCCTTGTCCTCGCTGTCACAGCCACACCTACCCTTTAGTTATTCCTTGAATCTTATATTTACATTCTGGTTTCTGTGGCAGCAAAACATCACCTGTAAAACACAGAGGAAAACAACTATGACTTAGTCCACTTTTGCTATTGTAACAAAATACCTGAAATTGGATAATGCATAAATAACATAAATTTGGTTTCCATAGATACAATGGGTAGGGCATTCAAGATCAAGGCATCCACCATTTTGATGTCTGGTAGAGCTGGCTCTTCCTAATGTTAAAATATCATCATGATACTACATCCTCATGTAACAGAATAGTAGAAAAGTAAAATAGTAAGAATGCCTATTAAGCCTCTTTTGTAAGTTCAGAGCCCTCATGATTTGGTCACTTCTTAAAAGCCATGTCTTAAAAAAAGTAATCCATTACATTGAGCATGACCTGTAAATATTTGTATAAATACATTTGAATCAGAGCATACCATTTTTTATGCTCACAGATTCTGAGTCATGAATTTGGAAAGTAAACACTGCAGGGATGCCTTGTCATTTCTTTGGAACCAATTTATAGGTACTCTGTTAGAGAACATGATGCTTGTGGTTTGGAATCATCCAACTGCTTGTCACTTACAGATTCAGAAATTGATCATGACAGAGAGCTTGGGGCACTATTTTTCTCTGTGTGGCCTTCTGAATGTGCACCTAGCATATCAAATAGATCTGCCTTCTCTCACTGCTTGTTGGCTGAACTGCAAGATTCAATATGCTAAGAAAGAACAGGCCTTCTTCTATATCTCATCTGTGAACATCAAACAACAATGTTTCCCTTACATTCTCTTTATTAGCACCATCATCACATTTGGACCAAGGAAAAGGGACAGGAGATAAAAGTGGTCTTATCAAAGTCACACACTGCCTTGGTAATACGTACTTCTCTTACTTGAAAGATCATCTTGAGCACCCTTGACCACTCTTCAAATACTCTTTTCTTGGGTTCCATGATGACTCATGTCCTAATGCTCTAGGTGTTCCCCCTCTGATGGGGCAGCTAGCTATTCTTTAGTGGTCTCTACTTCAGTTTCTCACATCTTTTTTTGTGTTTTGAAACATTCCAAAGTCATTGTTGTTGACATTCCAAGCTGATGTTCTATTTATTGTTTGCCATTTCAAGCATTACCTCTCTTCCACTGATTTCTAAAAGAATCTAGAGATCATGGCACACTAGGTCTATATAGTCAAAGACTTGATTTGTAGCTTCATTGGATATTTGATGCATAGCTAAAAATTACTAAGCCAAAATTCAATTTTCTTTCTTTCTCAAACATTCTTATATATATTTTTTAACTCTATCTGGCATTTTAGTGAGTAGTATTGCCTTCCATAGCATAACTCAAATATGCAAATTTTATCTCCACAATATGCTGTGGAGATTCTTTACATTCTTTTACATCTTTTATTCTGCTAATATTCTAAGGCCTTATAGTTTCTTAAACTGCTTAACTAGCTTCCCAACATGTCTAATGACTTACAGTCCATCACATATTGAAACACACCTGCCACCTTGTAGAGGTATTTTGCCTATTCATTCTGCCATAGTCTTTTAATGTTCTTTGCAACAGTGGAGAGAAATGTGATGGTTTCTTATGAGGGGGTTATAAGTCCCAACAGACAATGCTAATTTGCAGAGAAAGTGTTTGGAAGTCAGTGGCTTCCCTTTGCCTATCATTTACTACTCACTGTCTAACAGCAACTGATTATGAAGTTCTAGCGATAGATGAGCAAGAGATGAAAATATAAAGTCCCAAATTACTGTACTTAAAGTGCCATGTAACTAAATATCTATTCTGGGAAAACAAGACAAAAAAAAACCCACCATTTGTTGGGTTTGATACATCAGAGCATTATTTTTTAAGTCATTGATACACTATCAACACATCACTATGTTATGTACATCAGAACATTATTTTTTAAATCATTCTCTGCCAATTAATTTAGTGCTGTACATAGAACTTGTTGGTCAGTCAGTCTAGCCAAACCAAGTACAATTGGTGTGGTGATATTGTGTCCCTCAATTTGTTGTGTAGCCTAATAAACTTATCTGAGGTCAGAGAACAGAACAGCCACTAGATAGACATAGAGGCCAGAAAATGGTGGCACGCACATCTTGAATCCTAGCATTCTGGAGGTAGAGATCCATCTGGATCTCTGTGAGTTCAAATGCACACTGGAAACAACCAGGCATGGTGACACATGCCTTTAATGCCAGCACTTGAGATCTCATGTCTTGCTTTTGAAAGACACATGCCTTTAATCCCAGAAATTATGGCAGGAAGCAGAAAGATACATTAAGGGCTGAGAACCATGGACTAGAAGCTTTTTTTTTTTTTTTTTTAAGCAATTCAGCTGAGATCCATTCAGATGAGGACTCAGAGGCTTTCGGTTTGAGGAAACAAGATCAGCTGAGAAGCTGACGAGGTGAGGTTGGCTGTGGCTTGTTCTGTTGCTCTGATCTTTCAGCATTCACCCCAATACCTGGCTCCAGTTATTTCATTTATAAGTTTAGCAGTTCATCTTACAAATGGAAGAGTATATCTCCAAAAATAAAGGGCAATTGAGGGAGACATGTGGCCTCTTCACAATGTGCACATGAAACCTCACACAATTACACACACATGAACATATTTTGTCCATATACACACAAGAACACATAGGCACATACAAAAATTAACACATATTTTTAAAAGATAAGAAAAAATAAAAAATAGGCCAACAGGTGTTAGCATTCTGTCAAGAAACGGGTCGAACAGGTCTGCACTGTTACTTCATTTTCATTCCTTCTTCCTTCACAAACTAATCCTCTCCCAGAGCCTTCTGCATGGAATGGCTCTGTGCTTTCTATTGCAGTTTGCAATGATAAAATGAATCCACCCTTCTTGCTCCTGTGTTCACAGTGGGGATTGCTTGTTTACCAGGTGGGTTCCTGGATCAGAGGGATCAGTGTCACCAGGGAATTTGTTGGAAAAGCAAGTTTGGGGCCCCACCCGAGTCCCAGTGAAAACAGCTGTTTCTTTTTCTCTGTCCTTTCGTTTTCCCACAGTAGCTTTCCAGGTTTGCTTAAGTTTGATCGCCACAGCTCAGTTGATTGCTCTGCTTCCCACACCTTCTGGGCCTTCTGAGACTGTCTGCTCTGCTCTGGACCTGGGCCTGTTTTCCTTTTCTTTAGTTGACAATAATGAATTCATTCACACTTCTGGATTTCCCTCCACCTGAGACAATTCTCTCTGATTCTTTCTTTCTGTGTGTTTTCATCACCGATCAAAAGCCACTCCCTTGAAAAGACGTTTATCTCATCATTCAAAGCCTTTTTATTGCCTGGGTCCTTTTTCGCTTACTCTGTCCCAATTTTTGCCTTCACAGTTAATTATAATTTTCTTACATTACCTTGAAAGCTCATTGGTTTATCGTTTTTGTTTTTTTTTTAATTTTTTTTATTTTTTTACATGTTCCTCCTTCCTGCAAGAGATGCCTCCCTTTCTACGGTCCCTACCACAATGGTGTGTACGTGAGAGAGTGATTACACTTGTACTTTAAAACTGGAGACTGAGGCTCACTTATTCGGTTTAACGTGTAATTCCAGCATTTGGGTGACTGGGTCAGAAGGATTGACATGAGAGGTTAGAGGTAGAGGACAGGCTGAACTGCATAAGAAGTCCTGGACTGTTGGAGGCTATAGAGTGAAACTAGTTCATTTTAATCTTTTTTAAATTTAACTTTCTATTGAATTTGTTATGAACATTTTTGGTATCATAAATTTCACAAATCATCTCAGTAATATATTTGAAACCTAGGTGGTTATTCCTTAATTATAACTTTTATCATTCTTGCTCTGATTTCCCTGCCAAAGACATAAATACAGAAAATATTCTAAGAAATATTCATTGTCATTTAAATATAGTAATGCACAGACAAAAAAAAAATAACATACCAGTTAACTGGAAATAGTTTTTTGAAGAGTTAATCTAAGCTCACATGGATAGTTAATGTGTAATTTACTTAAAACATACCACATAAGAGAATGAATAGCATGAGTGAACTAAAATCATGTGCATATATGCGTAGTTACATTAGTTTATGCAATCTATTTGTATGTGTACCAAAAAGATATAAGAAAAAAATATAGCAAATCTGCACATGCTAGGATTCTTCAAAACTGCATTTGTGCACAACAGGGATTTTTTTGTTCTTCCAAATTTGAAATATATACTCAATCAGAAGCCAAGTATTTTACAATATTTTTTGAAAGCATACACATATATATTTAAAATAGAATGTATGTGCAGGAGTTTGCACTTTGTTAGCAAGAAATTAAAAATAGGAGATTATAATGAGGATAAACAGGGATTATATAGTGTTGTACATCAACTATAATGACTGTGGTCTAATTTAGAATTGCTGCCTTCCAGTTTTGCTAAAATGTCCTTTGTTGAATACCAATTATTCACTGTTTTCATGAGCAAAAATCAGCACATTCATTAATAACTCGAAGTATAAAGTATTATAGTTTGTATGCACGAGTTCAATTTGTTGCTAAAGTGTTATATAACACTCTTGGCTTGTTTGCTATAATCATTTTAGTTGAGCATTTCTCATTTACCCTATTCATTTCCCAATGGCAATTTTGCAAATGTCCTTGGAAATATATTAAAACGTGAAGCAAGATTGTGTTAACAAAATACATTTCACATTTTATATGCCTCACTTGAATGTCTGTCATATACATTTTGACAGTAGTTTTAAGTTAGAAATGAGACCACTATTTTTCTTTCAAAAAATTGAAGCTATAACAATAAAGAAGAGTGATTACAAGTAATAATTTGGAATAGAAAGAAAGCATACCAAACCAAGGTCACTATAAACTATTTTAAGGAGGCTTAATAAAACCATTTTTTCATGAATAATACAAATTGGGAATATGATAATGCCATTGTTTTGTATATGCATGTACTTAAATGTGCTAAACAGGAACAAGAAAATTAAAACTTTATGAAACTGGAATTTGCACAAAAGAAAACAACGGTGAATACTCTCTCTGTGCTCTTGAAATGATAACTAAAGTCTTTCAACCTTCTTGAGGGTGTTGGAAGAAGCTTGAGTGATTAGACAGAGTTGAGCATGGCTCTGCAGTTGCTGTTCAGTAACAAACCAACAAAAGCAACTATTGGGTTTCCAGTTCATGAATCTGTATAGCTTAGGGAAGATACCCCCAATTCATGGCTATTCACTGTGGATTTTAGAAATGAAAGTTGATAATGTGTTTTCTCCTATTCGGAATCATTCATGGAAGATTATAACTGCTCCCCTACATAGCCTGTAGACAGCTTTTACTGAACGGTACCTTAGTACAGATTGTTGTCCTCTAATATTCCCTGTCTTTTTGCCTGCTGGATATTGATCTCTTGGGTGTATGTGGGATCAGCATCTTTTTCTTTCTAACTCCTAACCAAGTCTTGTAGACTTCAATGTACTTCTTACAAAATCTGGATTTACTCTAACTGCTTAAGCAAAAGAGTTGGCATTTGAATCAAGCTACTAAATTCATAATAAATAAACACACACATACTCTACTTTGGAGAAATATGCTAAAGCTTTCATATTTTTATGTCCTGACATTATCAGTACACTTTTCTTTTCTTTCTGAATTCCTAAGCTCTGGGTTCTAAAAATGTAGCATGTCTTCTCTTTGTGTGATTGGTGGTACTTTGGTTTTTATTGTTATAGCCATTACATTCGGGATTTCACCATCTCAGAATGGTGTTTCATCACCACAAAGGAAACACATTTTTTTTTCTACTCTGGTTTGCCAGGAGTAGCATCAGTGATATCGGGTGCAACAACGGTCAGTGCATCCCACAGTGAATGGATCAGTGTAAAGTGTGTTCCATGCCCAGAACTGGGTTGTCTCTTTAAGTTGTACTAAATATCCACTAACAGTAAAAACCACAGAAAACAAAGCCTGCTAGGGCATATGGAAGATAACTGGGAAATAGAACTCTTCTGTGAATGTAAAAGGACTTGCCCAGAGTAGAAGCCATT